CACACACACACACACACGCACACACTAGCAGGTGCACTCATAAACACATACTCTCTCACACATCCCCTCTTCCACATACACAATATACCCATATATACATAGCACATGTACTCGTACATGCTGACACCCGCAAAAAGACCCACAGTTACAAACATGATATAAACAGCCCAACAATTCAGCAACAAACCAACAAAAAATAAAAATCATAAAGGCACAAGAGCATTTTCACCTGAAATCTGGCGCGACATATCTTTCGTCACCGACCCAAGCTTTGTCAGTTTGCTGGGGAAGAAGACGATAATATGACGTTATTGTTAACCTCCGTCTACCACAAGCGGAGACAGTACGTTATTTAATATTTATAAGGACTCTCGAACACTGAAAATGTTTGCCTCCATCTCGACCCCACCCCCATCCCCACCCCATTTTCTCATTTACATGTACATGTTTTTTGTTTTTGTTTTTGTTTTTGTTTTTGTAAAGTGTTTTACGGCGCTCGCAACTGCATAAGGTCATATGTGCGCGCGGGACACACCTAATATTTTCAGTTGGTAGGGAATTTTGAATTTTGCCCGGGTGGCGGCCGAAGCCTACTTTTATCGACTTTAGACCACCAAGGGATCTTTAACGTGCACAACTTGCACACGGGCCCTCCGAGGTTTTTCGCCCTTGTCCGGGAAGGCTAGGTGTAGATCTTTCCTACCAGAAGATCAGGGGTGTGGCAGAAAGACAGCAGTAAGGAGGGAGCCAAGGAGTAGCAGTAGAAAGGCTGCAGAAAGAGTCAAGAGCCCAGAGGAGGGAGCAAAGGAGGTGAGGGGGTGGGGGCAGAAAGTGGAAATGAAAGCAGACAACAGAACATTGATAGAGAGCAGGAAAGAAGGTGAAAGGAGACACTTTAAGAGAAGAAAATGTTTCGGTCTCTACCCGGATTCGAACCCGGGACCTTTGAATGAGAGGCCAACACCTTAACCTCTAGGCCACGAGAGCCCCCTTACATGTATATTGATCCACGCTTTTTATCATCTCTCTACATCTCTCTTACTATCTATCCGTCCTTCTATCTATCTGTCCTTTCTCCCTACTCCTCCTCTAATAATAGGCAGAATACAAGCGTCTAAAACTCACCAGCAACAACAAAAACAAAAACAAAAATAATAACAACAACAATATAAACAACAATACATCAGCAACAACAAAAACAACAACAAAAGCACAAACAAAAACAATACAAACAACAACAGCAGCAGCAACAACAACAATAAACAATAACAACACAAATACCACCACCACCACCACCACCACCAACAACAACAACAACAACAATAACAAAGCAAAAACAACAATAGCAACAACGATGACGACAACGACGACGACGACAACATCACCACCAACAAAAACAACAACAACAACTCAAAATATATTACAGTTTTATGGGCGTAGTTTTTCAGCACGTCCGTTGAGATGTTGCTGACGACGTCGTGGAAGAGGACGACTCTGGGCTTCCGGCGGATCACTTCCGTCTTGAGGAACGTCAGGCCCACACGGGTGAGGGTGCACTTCTTGCGGGACGCCTGGGGAACACAGGTCGGTGTTGATAGATAGATAGATAGATAGATAGATAGATAGATAGAAAGATAGATCGATAGATCGATAGATCGATAGATCGATAGATAGATAGATAGATAGATAGATAGATAGATAGATCGATAGGTAGATCGATAGATAGATAGATGAGTGGTGGAGAGAAGTGAGCGCGCGGGTGTGTGTGTG